ATTCATTTCCTAGTCAAAGAAATTCATGTCATTGAAGGCATTACTTCCATTAATGATCGATCGTATCGATGTGTTACCAGATCATATCGTGCAATCGATAGGATAGAAAAACATAAAGTTTGGTTAATTAAATTACATAAAGTAAAATAAAACATAAATTAAAGAAGTAAAATCTATGTCCACTCTCATTATTTTTTTCAAGTTCTATAATCTTTCAATATAGAACTTGAGAAGACTTTTGATTTATCTTCCTTAGTGGGTTAGGATTTCATCCTCTAACATGCATTAACTTTGAGTTATCTCAACAAGTCATACATGAAGGATTAGGTAGGTAACTTCTTATCAATTAAACCCAATGTAATTCCTAATCTCATTGACATGATAACTCTTTGTCATATCACATCTTATGTAAATACCAATCTTTGCCTACAAGTTTATTAAACCTTGGGTTATCTCAACGAACCTAATAACTCATTTTAAGTTAAACTCAACCTTCGGGGACATCGAATGGCCTATGATTTATTTTCCTAGAGGAAGAAGTGATCTTAAGTTATCTCAATAAGTCAACAATGACCAAAAGAGTTCCCTCCTTATAACGTTAGAAGAATATTAACTTAAAATTTGATTTGAAGAGTTTTAATTTGGTATGTCTTATCTTAGCATGCATACTAGTTAATAATCATATTAGTCTCGGCATGCATACTAACATTAATCGTATATTATAAATTCATATATCTCATGCATGACATAAGGATTAATGAATGATAATGAATTTCTAATACTAGCCCCTCGAGCCACAAAGAGACTAGCATGTGAAATACCTAGGTGAAAAATTATTATAAATTATTCAAGATTTATTTTCACTTCTTGGCTCCTTCTCCTTGCATCTAATCTAATTCCTATCTTTTACTTTTATATTTATTTGAATAAGAAATCTTGAGTTACATTCGAGGAGAGTATCGTGATAAGAGAAATATAATAGGGTAATAGAGAAGGTAGGAACATAGGTCCTATTTATCCAAAAATTATAAACATTCATTCCTATAAACTAGGTCAACTCATCCATACCATTCACCCATGCTTTAACACATTGATACATGGCATACTAATAAAACATATTTCATTCAAATTATAATTATAAATCTATATTTTTATCATTTTATAAATTTATCAAAATTTTCTTAAATTTTAAATTTAAAACTTTTCGAGCCTTGGGCCAATGTAAGATCCATGAGACTTTTGGGTCTCGAGGGCCCATGGGCTTTGATGCCCAAGCCCTTGACTTGGTGTGCTCGTATACGTTTGCCTATAGCCAATGGCCTAGCGTACAATTGTTTAGCTCATGGCCTTGCGTCTATGCCTAGCTTGTGGCCTCGTGTGTACGCCTAGCCTACGGCCTAGCACTTGAGTGCCCGACTTGCGGTCTAGTATGTGAGCGCCTAGCCTATGCATGTATGTGCTTGCCCTTTAGTATGATTGGTGGGCGACCGCCTAGCCAATAAGCCGAGTCCGTCGAACCCGCAATCAACCAAGGGTTGTCATGTGCCTAGCACGCGACCGACCGGGGAGTTTGTTAACACGAGCACCAATGACTAAGGTTATCCTCGCACACCTTGATGTGGATCAAAAAGCCTTAGAATTCATGGAGCGAAACGATAGGGTATGGTGATGGGAGTTAGGATTTTTGGGGTTTTTAGATGTAGTTTCATGGGAAATGGGCCAAGGATCAACACACATAGGCTTTGCTTATGACATACGTGTTATTTTCATAAAAAAACGTCGTTTAGACCCTCAAATCGCTAATTTATTATTCCGTTCATACAATAGTGAATTTTTAGGATTTTTTCTACTTAATTTCGAATTTTTAGTGTTTGTTTCCTTTTCAAATTGTTTTAGGTTTTTGACCTAAAATTTAATATTTATGTAAGACGTTTAGACCGAAAAGTGCCACTTTTGCTTGATTAATAAATATTGTAAGAGAGTATCTCAATTTTTTTCAATTGTCGACATTCTTTGAATCAACGGAATTGAAGCATATTCCTTGGTATTTTGTGTGCAAATCAACGAGTTATAGTAGATTGGCATCCGAATATCGGATCAATGGTATTTATCATTCTTTTTTACGAGCTTCCGCTATGTCGGTTGGTATTAGAGCCGGATATCGCTTTCCTAACCATGCCGCCAAGGAGATAGCGACGAGTGAGAGCGAGATATGGATGAGCTATGGATTTTGAATAAATTTTAGAACATGATTATTTTTTTTTTGAAAAATAGATTTATATAATTTTTAAATTATAGTGGCACGATTAATATATATAATTTGTATGAAATACATTTTTAGATTAAAAGTATTTTTTAAATAATTTTTTCTTTTTTTAATGTTATTTAAAATTTACTACATTAATTTTTCATTTTTTTAAAAAAATTCTCTTTCTTTTTTTAATTTCAAAATTTAATTATATTGTGATTTAATCTCATTTTGTTTTAGTGTTTTTTGTTAATTATTTTTCTTATTTAAAATTTACTATTTTAATTTGTCATTTTTTAAAATTGTCATCCAATTAATTTAAAAGTATATTTACTTGACGAGTTTTGATTTATTTTTCTATATGTATGGATTTTGAAATAAATTTTTAGAATATGATTATTTTTTATTTTGAAAAACGATTTAGATAATTTTTAAATAATAGTGGCATGATTAATATAAATAATATTTTTGAAATACTTTTTTAGATTAAAAGTATATTTTAAATAATTTTTTCTTGATTTTTTATATTATTTTAAATTTAGTACATTAATTTGTCATTTTTTTTTTAAATTCTCTCTTTTTTTTTTCAATTTCAAACTTTGATTATATTGTGATTTGATCTCATTTTATTTTAGTGTTTTTTATTAATTATTTTTATTATTTAAAATTTACTAATTTAATTTGTCATTTTTTTAAAATTTTCATCTAATTAATTTAAAATTTATTTATTAATAGTTTTGATTTATTTTTCTCTATGTATGGATTTTAAATAAATTTTTCGAACATGATTATTATTTTTTTGAAAAATAGATTTAGATAATTTCTAAATTATAGTGGCATGATTAATATATATAATTATTCTGAAATACATGTTTAGACTAAAAGTGTTTTTCAAATAATTTTTTCTTGTTTTTTTTATGTTATTTAAAATTTATACATTAATTTGTCATTTTTTAAAAATTCTTTTTTATTTAATTTCAAACTTTGATTATATTGTGATTTGATCCCATTTTGTTTTAGTGTTTTTTGTTAATTATTTTTACTATTTAAAATTTACTATTTTAATTTATCATTTTTTAAAATTATCATCCAATTAATTTAATAGTTTATTTACCGATAATTTTGTTTTATTTATTTTATACGTATGGATTTTGGAATAAACTTTTAGAACATAATTATTTTTTCTTTTGAAAAATAGATTTATATAACTTTTAAATTACGATGGCATGATTGATATATATAATTTATCTAAAATATATTTTTAGATTAAAAGTGTATTTCAAATAATTTTTTCTTGATTTTGTTTTTAGAAAAAAACCAAATTAATTAATTAATAGTTGAAAGTCAAATTAATATAGTTTTTTATTTTAATATTATTCATTCTTTTGTAAAATAAATATATAAAAATTAAATTCATATTTTTTTAAAAATCAATATTCTCATCAACATTAACTAAAAAAATTATTATTTGTTCAATTCTATGTAAGTTTTTAATAATTGTTATTTATGTTTTTTGACACAATTTTATGAAATACTAAAGTTTTATTTTTAAAAAAATTATTCGATTTTCTTTTTAGTTAACAATTCAAGGATTAACAAGGATAAATTTTTTTTCTAAAGGAAAAATTATGAAAAAACGCAAATAAGAAATAGTTAAATATAAAATTTTTTATTAAAAAATTATAAATATTTTTTTTCACTTTTGATTTTATATATTTTTATAGATTCATATCATAAAACAGATTATCATACTAAAATAAATTTTTTTAAATAAATTTTATAAATTTTATTTAATTCACAGTGTAATACGGATAATAAAACTAATGAGCAACTAAACAATTACAACTTCCTACTTCGTAATTATATAGTACTTGTGTTGGGACAAAGGCATCGTTTGGTCCTACAAATAAGAAGCAGGCGTCGTTTTGCAACTTCCTACTTGGTACTAGAGTTCGATAAAAACCTTAAAAAAGAAGAAGCATTAATACTATAGGTTTTGTAAAACAAAAATAAATAATTTATTAACTGGTGTACTTGATATATTCGAGAACTAATGCACCAATATTTCTTTATCAATGAATTTTTCTATTGCTTTGGTTAAAAAAATAAATATATAATTTACAAGGTAATGCATTCATTATCTTACTATATATTGGCGTTGATGTTTCAGGCAGTGGAAATAATTTGGAGGAATGCTAACAAGTTGTTTACAAGTTACCTTTAACCAAAAAATTGCATTGAAAATTTTCCTTTTTAAAAAAAAGAAAAAAAAAGAAGAAGCAAAATTGACTAAACCTATCACACACATATTTTCACATGAAAAAAAATATTACAATATCATATCAGAATTTACCGTGGAACTTATAATTTTCCTTTCATTTATTTATTTTTTGGTAAAAATATTAGTAAAGGGATTTTAGATTCACATCCAGCGGAACAAAAATCAAAACTCGACCCCTAAATACATTGACTCAATCCACTCGTGATCAAAACTGCTTTAAAGGTTGGACTTAAGCACTATAGACCAAATCCACAAGCCACAAGCCCAGTAACCCCAATTGTCTCCTTCCCACAAAACCCTAACCCTAACACCTTCTTCCCTTCTCCTCCATTCCTGCAGCACTCCAAAACCGTAATTATCCCCATCCGGTCAAGCACCTCCTTATCCCTCTTATTATTACTTGTGATATAACGAATTGTTTTATGTTTTCTGTTTGTGTGTGGCAGGTAATCAATCAAGTCAAAGAAAGAAATGAACAAGGTAGCAGCAGCAGTAGGCGGGGCCAAGGGAAAGAAGAAAGGAGCAACCTTCACGATCGATTGTGCTAAACCAGTTGAAGATAAAATCATGGACATTGCCTCACTGGAAAAATTCCTCCAAGAACGCATTAAAGTCGGCGGCAAACCCGGAGCTCTCGGTGATTCCATCACTGTCACCCGTGACAAGTCCAAAATCACCCTCACTTGTGACTCTAATTTCTCCAAACGGTAAATATTGAAAAATAATAGATAATTAATCATCTATATTTTTTATTTTGTTTTTAATATTAATTTGCTTTTGTTCTTATAGGTATTTGAAGTATTTGACAAAGAAGTACTTGAAGAAGCATAATGTGAGAGATTGGCTTAGGGTTATTGCGTCGAACAAGGACCGTAATGTTTATGAGCTGAGATATTTTAACATTGCAGAGAACGAAGGCGAGGAAGAAGATTAAGAGTAATTAAGAATTCTTCTGTTTTGTCTTTTTCTTTCTCTTTTTGTTTAGGCTTTGTTTTATTACTTTTTGAAATGAGATTGTGTGAAATTTTGGTGAAAAACCCGCAATGTTTTGCCTCGTATGAATTTATTCTAATTATTGTTGAATTAAGAATGTTTGGCCTTGATTTTGTTTGTCTTGTCTATTATATATCTCCATGTTGCTATTAGTTGAGCCTGCATGATGCTTGTGCAGCGGATACAGTCCATTTTTGTATTATGGCTTAGTAACAATGTACTACCAAGTTTTTGAACCTGTGAGGTTGACCCTAGATCTGAGATTTTTAAGATGATGGTGGTTACGATTGAGCGGTGATAGCAACATTGCATTACCTGGCATTTGAACCCCTGGGCTTGACCTCAAAACCAAACATTTCAAGATAATAGTGGTTACAAATTTGATTTGATATTCTAGTTTATTTTTGGCATGGATGAAGTTTTGTAATAACTTAGAGTATGAATGCTGTGTGTCTGATTATTCATCATCTTCTTGTTTATTATCAGAGTTTACATTCCAATTTGTCCAGCTGAAATTTTGCTGATGCTGATTCATATAGTTGGTAAATACAAAGTTCAGTTGATTTTTACAATATCTGGTATTTCTACTGGATATTTATGGATTTCATCTTCCCAAATATTTGCTATATCAGCTCGCACATTGTAAATGCATTTCCATACTCCACTATTACACTTGAACCCACTTCCAAAGGCAATCTGCCAGACCCGGTCACCCCTTTTCATCCTTCTTTTGGCTTCTATATACTCTAGCTCATACCAAATAGAAGAAGATGAAGTGTTTCCAAATCTGTGAAGAGTCATCTTAGAGGGCTCAACATCTTCTTTCAACAATGCTAGGTTTCTTTCAATTGCTTGAATGACAGCTTTTCCTCCTGCATGAATGCAGAAGTGCTCAAAAGCTCTCTTAAAATTTGGAGTATAGAAGCTTGCCCTGGTAGAAATTCTCATCTTCCAAAAAATTAATTAAACCGCACACCATAGCTGTTCTGAAAATGGGAAAACCATAGGTCCTAGTATAGCAACGTTTAGCTTCAATACATTAGCAGCTACTTGTAGGACGTCCTTTGATATTGCAACACCTGTTATATTTTCAGAGTCCTCTTCCTGAAAGACACAGATATGAGAGTGGTCCTCCCGTGCCTTGTTTGTTCTAACAATGTACTGTAGCTCATACTTTGCCTTTTTCTTGTCTTGATTTCGGCCAGACATCAGTATGGCTGCTCCTCCCATTCGAAAAAGACAATTGGTTAGCAACATGGATGGGTTCTTACCAGTATACCAATTAGGACTTGTCATTTCAGTGCTCACAATAGGAGCCAATGAGTTTTGGTGTACCCTCAATAGGTCTTAGGCTAGTCCAACTGATGTGATTCCAGCACTGCACCATGCCTGACAGGTTAAAACTCATGACATTGCTCCTCATCTTAAATTTATTTACTATCATAGCATAAAGAGATGGTGTAGGAGAAAATATGCTACTATTAGATATCAATATGTCTATATCCTTTGAGTTGATGTCGCTTTTGTTCAGCAGATCTGTGATTACAGAAAACATTATTGTTGCCGCCTCTTCTATGGAGAAGGAGAGCTTTTTTCTTATAGGTACACAAGAAAGAGAATGATGAATGCTGGTTTCCTCGCTGAACCCAGATTTGTCTAGGATCTTGATTTGGAAAGCAACGCTGTCCGGATCAAATTGTTTGTCAAGAGATACATACTCTAAGTACATGGATATGGGCACTCTGTTCGGATTGGGCGGTTTGTAGCAAGTGAAGTCGAGTAAATAAATGGTAACTCCTCTTCTGTGTGAAAGATATAGGAATAACAATGCTGCTGCTATTAGCATCATAAAGTGGTAGGATATGAGCAGGAGGAGCTTTGGGAGTTAAACAATATTTTCTATGATCATGGCTATGGAAGAGTAGTAGCCATGTCTGATTTTGCTCATGTTGAGTCTTGTTTTGCTCGGCATGAGTGTTCTATTGTTTATAAGGATGGTACATGTATTGGGTTTGAATAAGAAAGGTGGTGGTGTGTTTGTCTGGTAGGGCAGGAAACAATACTAGAAAGAAAGTGCTTAGGGATTGTGGACTTGAACATGAGTTCAGTGCTCGTTTCAAAGATGGAATTTTGAACGCAAGGGTCAACTACCTCTTTCTTACACTTACGAACCTTAACTCTCTGCATTGTTAAGTGTTCTTTATGCATTTTTCTTAAATCTTAATCCCCTATGGGCAAACAAGCTTTTCTCGGTGGGCATCTTTAACTTCGCGCTTTAGCAGGGGATTATAATGCATTGGAGAATGATGAAAGCATGTATGCTTCACATGAACTCTCACACGTCACACCATCCTGGGTGATTCCAACTTCCTTGATTCAGACCTGAATTTCTGCTAGAAATCGACACACTATTTTATGATGTTATTAGAGTATTCATACCTTGACAGATTTGTTTCAAGTGAAAATGAAACATTATTTAGACTAACTGAATTTGTGAAATTAGCAAGGCCTCGATGGAATGGAGCCAAACATAGAAGAGATTTACATGCGGAGGTCCATGTACTAACAACAAGCGAAACTAATAATACATGGTTGATATTAGTATTAAAGATGTCTTGGACACAACCACGAATACCGGAACCCTAGAAGCGTTAACTCATTTAAATACTTAAAAGAGTTTGGAGTACTTGAATGTGAATCCCTCCTCCAAAAATATCAAAAAATAGCAAGTGGAGGCCAAACCATATCTTATACACAGCAATGACCTGCTTTCTATTAAGGCCATCTGTAGATTATTATTATTATTATTATTATTATTATTATTATTTATAAAATATTAAAATTATATTAATTATTCTAAAAAAATTAAAGCATTTGTTAGAATAGTTTTTTATATATTCATATAAAAAAAAATTAAAATTATATTAATTATTATGAAAAAATAAAAAAAATTAAAGCAATCGTTTCAAAACATTATATTGCACATTTAATCGCATCCAACGTCCTACTTTTGAGATTTTCTTGATTTGGTTGTATTTTTTTTATTCAACCCCTCTCTCTATATATTCTTTAATTTTTCTTAATATGACATTTTCGACTATTTTCCGATCAAAACGATAGTTGGGATAAAACAATTCACGTGACATGACACATCATATTTTTTTCCACGTGAAAAAAAAAGATTTTATCCTCCCTCCCTCCTTTGTTGCTGTTTGTGAAAGGAAAAAAAGCTGGAGTAAAAATGAAATTTACTAGGTTTTTTGGATGTGAGAGCAATCGTTTTTGAGAAATCACAGTTCCATGGTTCTTTGCAGAAGCCTGGTACTAGAGATTCATGGCATAAGCAGCATGTGATGCTAGTGTATTTGGATTGAAAGAGGCACCTCCTAGTTGAATGGGGCTGCAATCTATGTCTAGGCCATAGGCATAGTCGAGACTTGCCCACAATTGAGCGTAAAAAACACCAGCTTTCAACACACACCAAGCTCCTGTTGTTGGCTTTGAAGATGGAGTCATTGGAGTTTTTGGTGTCGACGGAGTCTAAAACCAAATGGTGGGTGTTGGAAACCACACATCAAGAATAACAAACAAAGGCAATAATGCATTCCCTATAAATATCTTTTGCGTTTAAGATGTGGAAAAAAACATGAGCTAAAGACCAGCATGTAACTTCCCCCAATAAATTGTGAAAATCAATCCACAAACTTTTGCACACATCTTGATCCTAAATTTTCAATGATAAACAAATAGACTAGAACATCATAGCTAACAAATTTCAACTTCCTTTCAACATTTCCTCTAGGCCTTATCACAATTTCAAATACTTTCTTTCCCTTTCTTTTAATCATATTTTTGATAACTAGTTTTATTGGAAATTACCAACACAAGTCATGCTTTTATGCCTAAGCTTGGTTAGATTTTAAGGGTCTCTATATTTTTGCAAGCTCATCTATTGTATGATAAGTACAGGTTACTTTGTGCACCGTGACCATAGTTTACTAACAAGATTGCAAAAAGAAACTTTATTAAGGCATTGAAGCAAAAGAAGATATTGTCCTTACCAAGCTACTATTTGAAAGACCAATATCATATGCCACTGGAAGGTCGGGTTTGAAAAGCCCGAATGATCATTCAGAAGCTAGACCAGGTTTTAAATCCTCATCATAAAGGGCAAATATATATGTATCCATAGAGTTTCCAGACATTAATGGGGTTCCAACCATTGATCTAAGGTAAGCAATCAAATAGCCATTACAAGCTCTTGCATTCTCAACACTTGGCTCAACCTCATTGCTATCATCCTTGGAAGGTCACCCGGTCTCAACATCCAAAATCTCGATGTCATTGATTCCTATAGCATTTAAGGCAGATCGTATGGCATCATCCTGTAATTCATTTTCCAACCCAAGAATTGAATAATCAACATGTGTTGTTGCTGTTGGTGATTATGTTATTAACGAATTGGCCATTGAGGAAGATAGAAAAAACTATTATCGTTACCTTGCTAGGTGTTAAGTAGAAAGCACCAAGAGGAGAAAGTGGTGTCTTGCACCAGGTTGTGATTATGCTATTGATGTTGTCGGGTGCGATGGAAACTTTGATGTTACTTGCCTGTGCTCTCATTCTTTTTGCTTTAATTTCCATGAGGAAAGACATCATCTAGTAGGATTTGATACTATGGCAAAATCGAATTTGAAGAATAGTTCAGACTCCTAGAATGAGACTTAGAAGGAAGCGTACGAGTAAGCCTTGTGCCAAGTGCCAAAGATCGATCGAGAAGAATTCAAGATGTATGCACATGTCGTGTGATAAGTGCATAATTTGCATGACGTTTATGTTCTTTTACATTAAACTTTCTATTACTTATTGAATTATATTAAGGAAATTAAGATCAAAATAACGATTTTAAGTTTTTTAAAAAACGTGGCGAATCAAAGCAAATAAACCCAAGCCAAAGCAAGAAGAAGCTAAAGCCACAAAGAAGTTTAAAGAAACACAAGACCGTGTAAATTACAAAAGGAAATAGCTACTGCTCATGTGAAACAAAGGAGGAAACCGTGTGGTTGTTTAGCAACAAAACCACACGGGGAGTAGAAATCCACACGGGATGGACTAAAGAAGAGACATGCCCGGTGTGTGTCAAAGTGTGAAGTAATACAAAGAATTAAACAATAAAGGCACACGGACAAAAGGAAGTGACACCGGATGAAGAGACTATTCCACATGGGCGAAGTTATGGACATGTGATGAAGCAAAAAATGACATGAGATGGAATGCAAATGGCACATGATCATGTGCCTCTATCCAACAAGCCATGTGTGCTAAACCATCAAGTCTTTTGTCGACCTTAAGTAGTCATGTGTGATATAATGTAACCCCGCGAAACTCCTTAACTTAGCTATACGTACTACAATAATTCTATCTCGCCTCTACTAAGTTTAAATTATGATTTATGTGTCATGTGCATGTTTGATGAGAATATATGAGATTGAAAAGAAAAACTTTAATTTTATTTCGACATGCCATAAATGTGGATTCTTGAGAAAAATATCTCCTGGAATATCCATAGTTATGTGAGTGTAATTTCTATGCCATTTCTTTTATATTTTGTGGTGTTAGAATATCTAAGGTTTATGGAAGTGATTATTGGAATAGCTTTTTGAGAATTTAGTTAGTCATTATTTATTTTTCCGATAACATATATTTAAAAGATCGTGCAAGTGAAAAACATATCCCAAACAAGGTGCATGGCTAAATTTTTGGGCAACCAAATGGGGTAAGGAAGTTGGTTAGTTTAGTTACCTTTTTAGTTTTCGCATTTAGTTGTTGATTTGACATCAAATGTACCACTTTTTCTAAAAGTGTGACACCTAGCCCACTTGGATTTTTAAATTGTCAACTTACCTCCCATTTAGTCCCATCATTTGACCTTAATTTACCATAAAATTTTGACACTTGGAAGACTAATAAATGAAGGGAAAAAGGTGTGATATAAAAATGGAATAAAGCTTAAAACCTTGCTATTTTCTTGACAAAAACTCGTAGCTTCCAGGAGAGGAGAGAAACAACATTGTGAGGAAAAGAAAGAGAGAAAAGAAAGAAAGAAAAAGGAAGGAAAGAAAGAAAGGAGAAAAAGAAGGAAAAATGTAGGAAATATTAAGCAAGCATATATCATTGTAAGTAGGTTTCATTTTAGCTTCCTTTATGCTTTAAGTTCTATTTTAAATTTTCCATTTATGAGTTATGTTTCAAGCCATGTAATATATTGTTATGGTTGCTTGTGTTGAGGTTATGTTTTGATGTCTTGTAATGGATCTAGTATGGTTGTTGTGATGTGATGATGGAAGGTTGATATGTGTATGGATCTATATGATCTATGTGGTATGTACATATCAATGTGTGTGGATGGGTTTGGTTACAATAACATGGGCTTGGAAATGTGCATGGATGGGTTTAGTTAAACTAAAATGGGCTTGGACATCCTTAATGGACCCATTCGGCCTAGGTACTAAAAAGGCCAAGTTTGTATTTATTTTAATGGATTTAAAGATCTAGAACTCCATGGGAACCCATTGAAGTATAACTTAGTGAGCTAGGTTGAGAAGAAATTATATAGAAATAAAAGAAAATCTTTTGCCCCTTAATGGACCCATTCGGCCTAAACCCAAAAAGTTGAGGATTTGAGTTCCATTCATCCAACTTGAGAATTAATGGTTCAAAGGTATCTAAATAAGTATAAATTAAAGTATAGAAAAGTTAGATTTCTTGAAAAATGAAACTTCCTGTTTAGATTAGGAAACACTTGAGCTAAACCCAAATTTTTAGAAATTAAGTTCCAACCACCCAAATTCATGAGTAATGGTTTATTTGCACCTTAATAGGATAAAATGAATTATTAGAATATGGGAATTCAAGAAAAAATGGGATTAAGACCTAGATCCATTAGAGGCTAAAATTCAATTACTAAGGTTAAAGTTTTGATTGAAAAGAAGTTTCATCTTTAGTATGTCATAATAAATCCTTAGAATGGAAGATCATGTAGACTAAGTAGTACATTGAAATTCGAAGTTAGACTTACTACGTGTACGAGGGGAAAGACATGAACGTGCGAAGTAAACTTATGAATTAATTCATACCAATGGGTGGATGTGGTATTTTCTTGAAGGATATCATGAAAGATATGTGAAAAACATATGACATCCCAAATACGGATCGGGTTACGAGAATGATTTGATAATAGAGGTTGGTACTCGTAATTAGTTAAATGTAATAAATACAACATTACGTGCATCATATGTATATGAGAATGGATTAAATTGAGAAAAAAAACATTGAGTTGAAAACGATGAGGTTTGGTGAGTGAATCGGGTGGAATCGGATAGGTTTGGTAACTTACTGGATTAAATAGGTGTTAGCGATCTAGTCGTGTGTGTGCTCTAATCTATATGACCGCACTCGTGGGTGATGGATTCTTGCTAACGAGTGGCTATAACAAGGGATAATTCCATTGTTAGCATTAGGTGATTCCGAAATCACCAATGGAGTAGACTTGCTAATACCTAAGGTACTCGGAATTAAAAATTTGATGAGTCAAAGTAGGGGAGTGAGAAAATCATTGTATATCACGTGCATCACCTTACTTACCGAGCTTCGACTCACCCCGTGTTTGTTTCATGCTATCACAAGTAAAGGCGATAATAATGCCGATAATGAAGCTACCAGTTCCTCCTAGAAAAAGACTCATGTGTGACACGTGGACTATAGGATTCACTTTTTCCTGTAATAATACCTATATTATTTTATAGCTTTTGTAATAATATTCAATACATTTTATATGTGTATGTGAGTAAATTTTAGACTTTGGTCTCTAAACCGTGACGTACCTAGCCATACCTTTTAGGTAATCGACAAGGTAGGTAATCGATAAGGGAGTTGAGGGAACCACGGAGGTGGTATCGAGCTTTAGTTTAGTTATTTGGGTAGAAACCTAAGTGTCACACGAGCCTTAGGACCGATGCGCTACTTAATAAGAAAAGTCTATTTCTTGGTATTTAATAAATATGAGAGTTTTACTGTGTGTAAATATGAGTGGTTACTCGTATGGTTTATATTATGTAGCCCTCGCTTAGATATATGGTTAATGAGAAATATTTATATTGTAGATGCCGATTCATTTTTGTGTTCCTAGTGTCCTTAGGACACGTCGCAGCCGAGTCGCCCTCGCCGTATACTCGGGCTAAGTTAAATAGCCTCGCTATGGCCTTGGATCAAGATATGGTGGCACATGTGATCCGAGTCCATGATCCGATCTAATGAATAGTATTCGCCGATGCCTACTTTGATCAATACCATAATGTTAAGTTTCGAGGCCGACCATGCGTCGACCCCTTTGTTGAGAGATCGGCAGTTACTTGATGCGGTTTGGGAGAGCATAATAGAGCAATATTCCTATCGTAATGTGATGTGAACCTTTATGCCAATAAAGGTTAGGCGAAGCATTACGAGATTGATGTATAACCGAGGTCCGCCCATGCCCTTAGCTCGCAACATCGAATAGATCACATCGATTGGTGCTATAGACTAGTGGAGAGTCGAGGCCTCCTTTCCATAACGTGTTCGCTATGTTGATTGGATCGAGTAGGTGTGTGCACGGGAAATATGTCACACGATATAATACCTTTTATGCACCTTTTAAGGTCTTTGTGCATCTTTTGAAGTACTTAGACATGCCTTTTTGTAACTAGTGCTATTCTTTTGTGTGTAACTATGGCATGAAACCTTTTTATGTAACCGTGTATGTCACGATGAATGTTTGGCATGTATGTTATGATTCATTATCTATATATCCTTGGCTATTTTCTATTGTATATGAAGCATGACATTTAAATTTTTGATACTAAAAACTAACCCGAATGTAACGTAACATGTACAAAGTCAAAGCATGTCAAGATGAAATCCCATACGAGCGAGGAGGAGAAGGGACCTCCGGTATAAACAATGAGAATACGTAAGATGCGTCGAATCCTCTAATAGACGTAATGGAACAACAACAACAAGCAATGTAAGAACAACAACGGACCTACATGGAGCAAATTAGACGACTCTTAGCTATGCATCAACAACCTCCCCTCTGCCGCAACATAAAAATGACATAGTAGAAAGATTTCAAAAGATGAATGCCAAGAGTTTATTGGGGGTGTTAACCCAATGATAGTGGAGGAATGGATTAAGTCGTTGAAAGTGATATTTGAGTATCTATAATTTGCCAATAATGAGCGAATGTCATGTGCTATCTTTATGTTGACTAAAGACGCTCGCACCTGGTGGGAGAGTGCACGATTAATAGTAGATGTGCCTCATTTGACCTAGGAAGGATTTAAAGAGGTCTTTTCCAATAAATACTTCATAGCGGACGTGAGAGCCAAGAAAATCCAAGAATTCTTGAAATTGAAGCAAGATGGTATGTCCGTGGGTGAGTATGTGCGAGAGGTTTGAACAAGGGTGTTAGTTTATCCTTTTCATAGTAGGGGATAAAAATCGAAGAAGAACCGATTTCTAGGAGGGTTAAACCCAAGGGTTTAGAGTATGGTGTGGATGTCGATCGCCTAGACCTTTCCGGAGAT